CAGGGTCAGACCTGTGAGGGTCAGATCTGTGAGGGTCAGACCTGTCAGGGTCAGACCTGTGAGGGTCAGATCTGTGAGGCACATTTTCACGTTAAGTTTGGATTTTATAAATCACAACCTTGGTGTAAAAAGTGGCGTACGCCAGTTTTATAAATCTGACCCCAGGACTGGAGCTTTGGGMGGGCATGTTGACCCATTCTGGTCTACAGTCCTGCACTGGTGATGGACTGGTTCCAGATGTGTAAGCTGCCAGAGGCATCAGAGAGGCAGGTGTTTTACCTGTGAGCTGATAACAGGCTGATGGTCCCTCTCACCTGTAGTCTGGTGCTGTTGGTGGATGTATCTGACAGCATCAATATAAAATATGTCCATAGTGTTGTATGGTCCAGAACCACACAGCATTCTGGGAGATGCAGTCTTTAGCTGTCCCAGCGAAGGCTGGTGCACCAGCTGAGTCCATCAGTCTTTGGTCAGCTAGCTGTGACCTGTTGAGTAGCAGCAGGTTCACCCCGAGCCTCAGAACTGCTTCAAAATAAAACAAAATAAAATAAAATAAAAKAAAAGAGCGTGGAGCCATGGTGAACATGACTGATCAGCTGCAGAGGAAATACTGGATAAAAGAGGAAAGTCTCACAACCAGTTTGACAGAATTAAYCAGCCTTTTTTTCTCCTGGTTTTTATTTCACATAATAATAATAAAACTAGAAATAATCAACAGTTATTGATATTAAATTCTTATATCCTGAAACATTTTCACCCCCACTCTAAGGGTTTAATGTTACTGATTATAAATGTTGCCTCCACACTCCATGCTCTACCTCAGCAGGGTTTTATTGGTGGTTCAATTCCCYACTGCTAAGTCACATGTTGAAGTGTCCTTGGGCAAGACACTGACCCCCCCCCCCAGTTTGATGTCACATCAGTTTATGAAGGTGAATTAAAGCACAGATTAGTGTCTGTAGGATGATTTCAGATTATGTTCGTAGAGAGATGCAGAGTTTTGTGGGGACCAATGTGTGAAGGACAGATTATAACGAGTGTTGAGTCCTGATTGGATAGAAACAGATTATAACGAGTGTTGAGTCCTGATTGGATAGAAACAGATTATAACGAGTGTTGAGTCCTGATTGGATAGAAACAGATTATAACGAGTGTTGAGTCCTGATTGGATAGAAAC